GAAATATCCTGATTGCTATGCAATGCCATGGTCAACAATACAACACTTTATCATGCCTGAATGCATTTAACTTGCTCTGCAAATATAGCATACACACTTATCGACGTCAGCAATCACAAACGAACATGATTTGCTTAAAATAATTAAAAATATAAATACGTAAAAAAAAAATCGCGTTCCAAAAATGATTTTACTGGATAGCATATTTGTACATACTTTTTCATTATTAAAATAAATGTTCTCTATTGGATAGCTACAGCTGTTTTATTAGGTAAGAGTTTATCATATCACCTGTTACAGATATAGTTTACACTTTATTTATTACGGAAACCTTTAGCAAGTGTGAATATTTTATAACGTTGGGGGTCTTCAAAGTAGTCTGTACTGAGAGCATTACCTGGTATAATAAAAACACAATATTCGTTAAATACATTCGATATTTAACGAGTCCAACTTAATAATTTTACAGATGCTTCTGGCCAAAAAAAGACTAAAACCAAATTTTAAAAAAAATCTGTAACAAAAAAGAGCCCCTAGGGCCTTAGTAAAATTGAACAAGAGGCCCATGGGCCTTATAGGTCACCTCAGTATAATGTAATGTTCAACTTTCCAACAATTGAATTTGATGTTCATGTTTTAAATCAGAGACCATGAAATTCACAATTTTTAAAGAGGCACTATTGCAGCGATTGCTTATCATAACTATAAACTTAGCTTGCTTATTTTGATTACTTTATACCCAGAGGTATATCAGAGTAACAAAGAGAAAATACACTTCCACTTTATCAGTTATTGTGCACCCCATCCCACAGGAACCACTGACCCTTGGGCCACATTATTCAAAATTTTGGAAATTTTATGAATTTTATTTCATCATGTTGTTGATTAATACCAAAGTGCAGATTTCAAAGCATTATTTTTTTTTCAAGCTATGTAACCCCCCCCCCCAGTACCTCTTAATTTCCCAGGGGCCCCAGAAATTAACCACTTTGGAAGAGACAGCTTTCTTCGTCATAAATATGCACTAAGGTCATTGGCATAATACACAGGAGCAAAGGAAAAGATTTTCAAAGAATTATGCATTTTCACTAAATAAACATTAGAGTCCCACCCTTACACAATAAGCCCTGACCCAGGGGCCCTGAAATTCACAAATCTCAAAGAGGCATCCTTCCTCCTCATAACTATGTACATAGTTCATTGGTTTAATAACCAGGTGCAGAATAGAAGATTTTTAAAGAATTTATGCATTTTCACTATATAATCAATAGAGCCCCACCCTAACACAAGAACCCCCAAGCCAGGGGCCATGAAATTCACAATTTTGAAAGAGGCAGTCTTATTCAACATAACTATGTATTGGTTAGTTTATTTAATAATCAGGAGCAGAGAAAAAAATTTTCAAAGAAATAATTCATTTTCACTATATAATCTTTGTAGCCCCACCCTGCCACTTGAACCCCTGACCCTGGGGCCCTGAAATTCAGTTTTGGAAAAGGCAGCCTTATTCAACATAACTATACAAATGGTTAGTTTATTTAATTCCCACGAACAGAATTTCAAAGAATTTATGCATTTTCACTATATAATCCATATAGCCCCGCCCTGCCACTTGAACCCCTGACCCTGGGGCCATGAGATTCTCAATTTTGAAAGAGGCAGTCTTATTCAACAGAACTATGTACTTGGTTAGTTTATTTAATACCCAGAAGCAGAAAAGAAGAATTTCAAATAATTTATGCATTTTCACTATATAATCTATATAGCCCCGCCTTAGCACTAGAACCCCTGACCCTGGGGCCATGAAATTCATAATTTTGGAAGAGGCAGTCATTTTCAACTTAACTATGCAATTGGTTAGTTTAATTAATGCCCAGGAGAAGAAAAGAAGAATTTCAAAGAAATAATGCATTTTCACTATATAATCTATTTTGTCCTGCCCTAGCACTAGAACCCCTCACCCTGGGGCCATGAATTTCACAATTTTGGTAGAGGACTCAATGCTGATTACAACCATACCAACAGTTTGACTGGTTGATGCCCAGGAGTAAAGAAGATTTTTAAAGACTGCACTAATTCTAGTGGTTTTGGTCCCACCCCCCAGGGGGGCAGGGACCATGAAATTTATAATTTTTGTTCCCCTTCACCCATAGATGCCAAATTTGGCTGAAATTGGTTCTGTGGTTTTAGAGGAGAAGCTGAAAATGTTCAGATGTTAAAATGTTCAAATGTTAATGCATGAAGAACGACGAATGACGCATGATGGACGACGACAGACAAAAACCTATAACAATTGACCTAAAAATGTACAGGATCCATTGAAGTATGAAATAAGACAAAATAAGTTGATACAAGGGCACTGCAAAATGGAGCATCCCCTGGCAAAGAGGAAATGTATAAATCAAGGCAGTATTCGACATCGATCCCGATGCAAATTATGTCACCCCAGTTTCATACAAGACAAACAAACACACACAGACACACCCTTATATATACACATACAAGCACCTTATATCATATCCCCTCAAACTCTGTTGCAAGTGGAAAATACATTCCTGTAAAAGGCGGTCTTGCCCAATACAAGAAAAATTAGATGTTCAGGGATAAACAAATTGATGGGTCTAAAACTCAGTAGCAAATCTTTTGGTGGATCTCCAACCTCAATACTGTTCTACCACATTGCATTTATACAAAACAATAGTACTTACTACTTTCTAACTTTACGTAGCCCAATATCATTCCCTGAAACATTGACCTCTCTTGGTTTTAGAACATTAAATAAGAGAAGCTTCTTATGAATTTTTATGAGTATACTTTTTATGGGTCATTAAAACCATGAAAGTGCTTTTTGTACAGTAAAATAATTTTTTTCAATAATTTTATATTCAATACATTTTTAACTATATATTATTTACGCCTTGGTTGACAATTGTTATTCTTGGAGTGTCGGTGTTCATCGTGAATAGAAAGGGGGAATAATTCATTATAATACCAATTAATAGAGCACTACCTTGCATCAGAACACTTGAACAAGTGGTCTATTGAAAATTTGGTAAGAGACACTCTTGCTTATTACAACTTTGTGTCTTCTCTTTGCATGCCTCTCATATGCCTAGAAGCAGTGATGATTTTCAAAGAAATAATTCACTTTGACTAGATATTGATAATTAAATTAAATTAAATTCGGGCGCACAGTGTATACAATTTTGAGTCTGTCTTTCTTTAAATCAATTGTCCTAAAAAAATTATCCATAACTTTTGATTGGTTAGAGGCATGGCTTTTATTTTTTACAAGTGCATTCCTTATGACAAGACTTCTCTTTGGGTACCAACATACTTGACCTCTTAACTTAAGAAGTTGATTCGCTTAAAAAAAGTATTGGTGAAACATTGCATGGCAGCTTATGGCAAAGGTTTGTATTTCTCAAATGCAAGTCAAACTCCTATGTCAAGGTCAAATTTGTTGGTATCAAGAGGAAGGAATACACCTGTGAAATATGAAAGTCATAGTACTAATTGTTCAAAGGTTATAACCAAGGTTAGTTTTTTTTACAAAGTGGATCAAACTCTAAGTCCACACCAAATTTATCTACACTGATTGAAAGGTCTTGTCACAATGAATACAATGTGAAGCATGAGAGCTCTAGCACCAACCATTTAAAAGTTATGACAACGGTCATCTTAAAGTTGGGTATTTTTTGCAAGTGGGTCCAGGTCAAGATTTCAAACTTCGTGGTACATGTACCAAAAGAAAGGTTTTATTACAAGGAATACACTCGTGAAATATGAAAGTCATAGCCCTGCCAAGTCTCGAGTTATGGGCAAGGTAGTTGGAACTAGGGCTTTCATGAGTATTCAGTGTGAAAAGGTCTTACCTTGACCTTTTGACCTTAGAGTTTGACCCACTTAAAAAATTTCAACCACAAATTTGAACAGATAGTACTAAGATTTTAATATTTCTCTGGTACATTCCTTGTGTCAAGACCTTTTGGATTCCTTGGAAAAACTTTACCTGAAAAGTTGGTGCTAGTGTTTTTATATTTCATGCATGTGTGGTATTTCTTGTGACAAAAACTTCTCCTAATTATTACTGTTAATTTTGACCTTGACCTAACTCTTAAAAAAATCCATCTTGGCATTACTGTAATGGTTGGTGCCTGAGCTTTCATATTTCACAGGTGTACTCTTTTAGATAAGTCATTTCCTTGTTAAACAATATTTTTGATCTCTTGACCTTGAACTTGCATTTGCAAAACTTTAACTTCATTTTAATCTGTCATACAGGGCATCAGTATTTCACAAACCAATCTTTTTTAAATGGTTTTTATTTCAAATCCAACAAGGTGTGACAAGGACCCTTTCTGCTACCCATAAGAAATTCATTGCTGAAGTTTATAAATACAAACACAATAATACCAACTCTGTATTTAAAACGACTACAACTTTTTAAATTTCCACAATGTTTTTAAAGTTTACCTCATTCCAAGTACATTTTGCATAAGAAAGACAGAGAGAATACTAGATGTCTATGTGTAAAATTCAAAGATAAGTTAGTTTTAAATCCAAGTATTGAAAACAAAACTTATGACTATAAATTTTACAAAAATTCAGATTTAGATAAATTCTATTTTCTTTTCGGTCAAGCCTGTGATTGTTTATATCAAAATTAAAACTGGTGAGCTAGTTTCATTTAAGGTTGCCAACTACAAATAAATTTTTGCCAAGTGTTTTCAATTTTTAATAGTAACTAATGGTCAAATATCCTTTCAATGGTTTCTTTAATTATGTGTGTTAACTTATTTGTATTTGCATATTTTTTTTCTACATAAAATTGTTAGTCAATAAATTGGTTTACCTACAAGGCCATTTTATGCAAAAAGTGAACCAAACTCATAAACTCTTTGACTCAGTTCCACCTGCATTACAGTGGAAAATGACATTACATTGAGAAAGGAAGAATAAATTTTAAAGTCTACCACAAAAAATAGATATTCTGTCAATTCATTGCTTTTATTAAACAATCACAACACTCCACTAAGTTTTTCATTCATTTCAAAGATGAGATTCTTTACAGATTGTCTTTATATATAATTATGTACAAGTTTAGGATATGTTACTATTTCAGTTTGGTGTATGTTTATTCTACTTTGTTCTTTTTCTTGACTTCATGCATATATCCCAACCCTGCATTCAGTGTCCAAATTGCTGTGACCATTATGCTGAAGTACACATGGTATACACCCCAGCTACTTGTGAAAAATTGTGAAATCAACTGGAATGTAATAATGCAGGAATTTGTCTACAATTTGAAAGAAAAAAGTTTCATATTAATGTTTGGTGATTATTAATATTAAGGATGATCAAGAAAATGGGTTTATATTGAACTATTAATTATATTAAACAGAAAAGTGTGATGATTTAAAACAGTGGTCAAGGTCTACCCATTGTAAAACACCAATTTCTTTCAACATTCCAGTTGGTATGACCATTTGTCAGGGGATGTCTACTCATTCATGACTCCTGATAGCAATTAGTACAATTCTTAGTTAACCTTGGACTTTCAGTAAGTCATGGTATTCTCGACGTTCAATAATTAACACATGAAATTTACACAGCCTTTCATTCACTGTTGAATATACACTCCGGCAAATGTCAGTGAGTGTAAAAATGATCCAATCATGTAACGTTTCGTTTGGCAGAGAGGTGGGGTTAAAGTCCTTACATCATTGTCAACAACAATTTAAAGTTTCTGATCTTATTAATTTCTTACCCAATGAGAATCTATTTGCCATTTGAGTAATGTTAATTACCTAATGTAAAGAAAGTCATGTCCTACTGAAAGTCCAAGGTTAAGTGAGAATCGTACTAGCATAGCATTAAATGAAACCTTTTCAAAAAAAAAAAGTTTTCATGAGATTGACTTCTTTTATTGGCAGAGCAACATGACTTAGTACTGGTCAACTTAAATGTTTCTCTCCAAACAAGTAGAAGATTCAAGCTTATTTCCCTACTGTATACAAAAATATCTTACAAAAAATAATCTTAACAAGAGGCCCATTGGCCTTATAGGTCACCTGAGCATATGCAACAACTTTCAAATGATGGAATTTGGTTCAGGTTTTAAGCTAGATGCTATGGCATTCACAATTTTGAAAGAGGGACCATTGTAATCATAACTATACACTTAACAATTGTTTAGTTTGTTAACTTGATACCCATAAGCAGGGTAGGGGAACAAAAATGCATGTCTACTAATCAGTAATATTCAGCAATAATCAGGAGTGCCCCTTCCACACATGAACCCCTGACCCTAGGTCTAAACATTGCACAATTTTTGAAAAGGCACACTTGCTTATCAAAAATGTTTGATTAATATCAAGGAGCAGATTTCAAACAATTCATTTTCAGAATATAAGTAGAGCCCCCCCCCCCCCTCTTTGGTATCCCTGACCCAGGGGCCTTGAAATTCACAATTCTGGAAGAGCCCTTGCACATCACAACTATATAAATAGTTCATCTGCTTATTGCCAAGGAGTAGAGAAAAAGATTTTCATAGATGTAATGTATTTTCACTATATAATCATTATAGAGCCACACCCTAACACCATAACCCCTGACCATGGGGCCATAAAATTTACAATTTCGGTAAAAGCATTCTTGCTCATCATAACTATGTCCTTAATTAGTTTATTTAATACCCAGAAGCAGAGACGAAGATTTTGAAAGAATAAATGCATTTTCACTCTATAATCAATAGAGCCCCGTCTTATCACCAGAACCAATGACCCTGGGGCCATAAAATTCATAATTTTGGTAGAGGCACTCTTGCTCATCATAGCTATGTACTTACTTTGTTTTTTTTAATACCTAGGAGCAGAGAAGATAATTTTCAAAGATTTAATGCATTTTCACTATCTAATCAATAGAGCCCCACCCTAACACCAGAATCCCTGACCCAGGGGCCATAAAATTCACAATTTTTGTAGAGACGCTCTTGCTCATTATAACTATGTACTTAATTAGTTCATTTAATACTCAGGAACAGAAAAGATTTTTAAAGGAAATAATGCATTTTCACTATATAGTCAATAGAACCCCACCCTAACACCATAACCACTGACCCTGTGGCCATATAATTCACAATTTTGGTAGAGGCACTCTTGCTCATAATGACTATGAACTTAATTAGTTTATTTAATACCCAGGAGCAGAGCAGAAGATTTTCAAAGAATTAATGCATTTTCACTATATAATCAAATATAGCCCCGCCCTAACACCAGAACCCCGACCCTGGGGCCATGAATTTTACAATTTTGGTACAGGACTCAATGCTGATTACAATCATACCAACAGTTTGACTGCTTGATGTCCAGGAGTAAAGAAGAAGATGTTAAAGATTGCACTAATTTTAGAGGTTTTTGCCCCAGGCCCCAGGGGGGCAGGGACCATGAAATTCACAATTTTTGTTCCCCTTTACCCACAAATGCTATATGCCAAAATTGGTTTAAATTGGTTCCATGGTTTCAGAGAAGAAGCTGAAAATGTTCAAATAATAACGCACGACGGACTATGGACAACGATGGACGAAAACGGATAGCTATAGTTCACCTGAGTTTACTCAGGTGACCTAAAAACTACATGTTAAGATCTGAATTCAACCTTTTATTTTTATGCATCCAACACATGAAAATGTTTTTAAAAACTTTCATATGTCCAAATTTGCATTGTTCAAGGAACTTTTGAGCTTGAAAGCTGTTTGTTATCTCCATAATTTTCATGTATATGTACTTACAAGAATACGATAGGTCAGAAATTGAAGTTTATCTGCTACATTGCTAAATCTTGAAGCTGAAGCAGAGATTACACAGGATCCAAACAAGAATGCTGCCACAATACGAACAAGAGAGAGGTGAAGTTTACCCAGTTTGCCATCCACCTATCAAAAGAGTAATTATCAATTCCATGAGTGTAATTAGTCTGCAATAATTGAGTTCCTTGGCTGATTTAAGCAGTCATATAAAGTCTATCTCTTTTAACATGCAATTAACAATATATTTTAATTTCTTGGAATTATCACAGGTTTCATGAAGATCCCAATATTATCAATATAAATAAATAAACTTAGTATCATTATATTTAAATCAGTATAGGAGGATTTAAGAATAGGAGATGGGTTAGGTCAATAACATATATGTAAAAAGGATGGCACTCTCCTGGTTTTGCTGTTGGAAACATGACATAGTGTCCCATCAAAAGTAAAATAGGGGGTGCACCATGGCATTATGAAAAAAATTCCCTTGTGGGAAGAAAATATTGCCCTCTGCTTCTTTTTGGGCAATGACTTTCACAGTCAATATTTCCTGGATACCAATACCATAATGGCTTTTATGAGCATTTCACATCAAAATATTACAAAGCCTGTTAAGAAACTTTTTTGTCTAGAAATTATCAAAACTATGAAATCTAGGACATGTTTCAATGACATGCATCACTGCACTTCCATGAAGTAAACTTTATCCTTTAAATAAAAAAGGCCATGAAGGTAAAGCAAGACAACTCTTACTTCCCTTGCTTGGATATTTCATTAACAGGTATACATGTTAATGGCCCCTACTGACAGCTATAACTTCATCAGCGAAAAAAAACATTAAATCTCATCTGAGATATAGATCTTTGTTTTTGTGTATTTAAAATTTCCATCTCCTATCAAGCAACAATAACAATTAAGTTAGAAATAAAATTTTATACTATATTCATGTAATTCATATAAAATCATTTGCATTTACCTCTGTTATACAATGTTTAAATAACCATGTGCACTACAACTCAAATGTACAATTTTCACAATAGCAAACAACTTGTTGTACTGATACCCAACTGAACCTGCTAAAACTTCAATAACCAGAAGTCTCTGTCGAGACTGTAGCCCTACTGGTTTGTACTGATCAAAAACCGATGCACAGAATTATGTATCTTAGTGTAGTCTACTTGTGTGATAAGTTATATTGAAATCAGACCAAAACTGTAGAAGGAGTAGCGTTTTAAAGGAATTCCACAGAAAATTCTACTTTTAGTAACCATGGCAACATGGTTATGTATCTTAGTGTAGTCTACTTGTGTGCCAAGTGATATTGAAATGAGACTAAAACTGTAGAAGGAGTAGCGTTTTAAAGGAATTTCACAGAAAATTCTATTTTTAGCAACCATGGCAACACCGTTCATCAAAATCAAAAACCGATGCATTATTTTATGTATCTTAGTGTAGTCTACTTGTGTGCCAAGTAATATTGAAATCATACCAAAACTGTCGAAGGAGTAGCTTTTTAAAGAATTTCTCAGAAAATTCTATTTTTAGTAACCATTGCAACACCGCTCATCGAAATCAAAAACCGATGCACTATTTTATGCATCTTAGTGTAATCTACTTGTGTGCCAAGTGATACTGAAATGAGACTAAAACTGTAGAAGGAGTAGCGTTTTAAAGGAATTTCACAGAAAATTCTATTTTTAGTAACCATGGCAACATCGTTCATCGAAATCAAAAACCGATGCACTATTTTATGTATCTTAGTGTAGTCTACTTGTGTGCCATGTGATATTGAAATGAGACTAAAACTGTAGAAGGAGTAGCGTTTTAAAGGAATTTCACAGAAAATTCTATTTTTAGTAACCATGGTAACATCGTTCATTGAAATCAAAAACCGATGCACTATTTTATGTATCTTAGTGTAGTCTACTTGTGTGCCAAGTAATATTGAAATCAGACCAAAACTGTAGAAGGAGTAGCGTTTTAAAGGAATTTCTCAGAAAATCCTATTTTTAGTAACCATGGCATCACCGTTCATTGAAATCAAAAACCGATGCACTATTTTATGTATCTTAGTGTAGTCTTCTTGTGTGCCAAGTTATGTTTGAAATCAGACCAAAACTGTAGAAGGAGTAGCGTTTTAAAGGAATTTCTCAGAAAACTCTATTTTTAGTAACCATGGCAACACCGTTCATCGAAATCAAAAACCCATGCACTATTTTATGTATCTTAGTGTAGTCTACTTGTGTGCCAAGCTATATTGAAATCAGACTAAAATTGTAGGAGGAGTAGCGTTTTGAAAAATTGTTTACAGACAGACAGACAGACAGACGGACGGACGCCGGACGCATTACTATCGCATAAGCTCTTCTGGTCTCTGACCAGTAGAGCTAATTAAAAAATTTGCATTGAAAAAACTGTCTCAAACCACTATAATTATTAAATTACATGTAAATGTATAAACTAAACCAACTTAAAGTGACCTTGGACCCCCTAGAAAATGCGGACCCCCCTCAAAAAGCAGATATTTATTAATTAAGTTGGTATCTACCCTCCCAAAAATAGCTTTGAAACGTTCTGGAACATTTCCATTTTTTGGGCTTGTCCAGAAATTTCTCGGTTGGATTCGTTTTTTGACTGGTTCGGAACCCCCATGGAAAAAATTTCCTGGATCTGTGGCAGCGCCCTATGTTTATATATAAAAACAAAAGTTACCTGAATTCTATAAACATGACCCGGAAAGGCAAAGCACATTAGTGCCATAAAAAAGGTCAAAATAGCATCAATCCTCAGGTGGACATCCAGCCTGGAGTGTGTTTCATTAGCACCTCCCCAGTCTGAGCATCTCAATGTGTGGTAGAGAGTCCCAAGAAACCAGAGAACATCTCCATAAGTCCCAAAATACCAACTCTGTAATTTATAAATACCATTAAAAATGTGGAATGAAATGATAAAGTGGGTAAAACTTAGATATATGTTTGATAATATTACTAACATATCTTTTATTTCTTTAAATAAGGCAAAATCTCAGGCCAAATGAATTGTTCTGAAATATTTTACTCTAATTAACATGAATTCCTGAACTATGTTTCAACTAAAATCATACATCCAGCTCCTCCTTCAACTAATATAAAATACATATTTCTTCAACTAATATAAAATACATATAAATCATATTTCAGGTTTCCATTTCTTTTTTAATTTTTGGTTTTTTTTTTTTAGCTCATCTGAGCTAAATAAATCATTTTTTTTTTTTAATCACCTGAGCTGAAAGCTCAAGCAAGCTTTTCTGATCACTGTAAACTTTTCACATTTTCTACTTATTCTCCAGAACCACTTGGCCAATTTCAACCAAACTTAATTGTCATATAGAATTCTTCGTTAAAGATGATTCATGTAAGTTTAAATGAAAGGCCCCACCTCAGAAAGAACTACTTTTATTTGTCACACACTTTGTCTACCCAAGATTTATTAGCTGAGAAAGTTTGAGAATTCTAGG